CTACAGTTAAAGTAATGTCTTCATGCCTTCCCACCACACAGAGGACACGATGAGAACTTAGTACAAAGACATTAAAATAATGAAACTACAGTTAAAGTAAAGTCTTCAAGAACTTTCTGATTATCGTATTTTTTGGCCCTTGTTAAAGTTAAAATTTCGGACAAAATACAGTAGGCAGACCAGACTAGTTGGATATTCTTTTGAAAATAGTGCCGAAACCAAAATCATTACGAGATATGAAAAAACGGAACCAAGGTATGATCATGGGCAGACTATAGTGTTTTAACACGTTGACTGCCGTGTAGGTCACCGGTGCCCTACATGGCGTGGCCTGCGTTTTTCCTTCCTATTCAAACTATTCGGCTACCCTGCACCGTAAACACCAGGTGGGCTGTGAGCTCATCCACCGATCTATAAAATAAAAAATATATATATGCTATTTTTTCATCGTGGAAATCATTTGAGAAAAGGTATTTTGAACGAGTAAGATGTCAAAACGTATGGAATGAAAATCATAAAAGCATAATTAAATGATTAAATTAGTTTTTGTCTATGACTCTTAACACCGACCCGGTCCGTGGGGAGTTGGAATAGAATAGTTGGAAAAAAATACTCATGAAAATACTGCGTTTAGAGAATTTTATACTCACAGTAACTCATTTTAATGCGACATAGTATTATTGTAGCTAAATACTAATAATATTTCAATTCAAATCGATTTTTAAATTATGAACAGTTTTAAGATGACTTGTTATATCTGAAATCTTTACCGTAACGAAAGGTTAACACGATTTAATGCTTTTTAGTAAGTTTTTATGAAGTGACATCTTAAATTAGTTTTATAGAGTATGGTTACATTTTATTGGAGATTTATGGTGAATGTCAGGCCGGCTATAAAACTCATACCTAATCCCTGTGCAGCATAATAAGAGGATATGCTATGCCGACCCTACATGATATGAGATAAAGGCCAAGAAGAAGAGGTTTACACTTTCTTGAAGCAATTCTTTAAAATCAGACTTAAATCAAGTGGACGACCGTAAAATTTTTCAAGTTTATAATCACAAAGGAAAATGTAAAAATAAAGACAGAAAAAAACTAAGATTTATTTTTTACTAGCGACCCGCCCTCGCTTCGCTTCGGAAACTGTAATTTATTATTGATTTCTCCACTATTTAATGGATGTTACTATACATATAAACCTTCCTCTTCAATTACTCTATGTATTAAAAAACCCGCATCAAAATCCGTTGCGTAGTTTTAAAGATTTAAGCATACATAGGGACATACAGATATAGGGACAGAGAAAGCGACTTTGTTTGATACTATGTAGTAATAACTTGATATATGTACGTATCGAGTGACATCGAGGCAACACGATCACGTCTGTCAATATAAAATACGACGGCAAACCGCAATAATCAAATTCTTCTCTGAAATACATTTTCAATTCAGTAAAACGACTATAAATGAAAATCTGATTCTTTTTCTATTACGCTGGATCGATCTTGTAGTCACCCGATGAGGTCAGAGGTCCTGGGAGTAACCGATTCAAGCGATAGGCTACTTCTACTACTACTATCGACGCCGTCTTTTTTTTTATTGCTTTGTTAGGTGGACGAACTCACAGCTCACCTGGTGTTAAGTGGTTACTGGAGCCCATAGACATCTACAACGTAAACGCGCCACCCACCTTGAGATATAAGTTCTAAGGTCTCGAATATAGTTACAACGGCTGCCCCACCCTTCAAACCGAAACACATTACGGCTTCACGGCAGAAATAGACGGGCTGGTGATACCTACCCGTGCGGACTCACAAGAGGTCCTACCACCTGTAACTACGCAAATTATAATTTTGCGGGTTTGATTTTTATTACACGATGTTATTCCTTCACCGTGGAAGTCAATCGTGAGCATTTGTTGAGTACGTATTTCATTAGAAAAATTGGTACCCATCTGGGATTCGAATACCGGTGCATCGCTTAAACACGATAGGACCGGACGTCTTATCCTTTAGGCCACGACGACATCAAATGCCACTACAAATGAGGCACGGCTCCTTATATTTGTGAAACTACCCGACGCTCAGCGAAGTCGGACTCGCAGGGATAAAACTGGCGAACATCTGTCCGACAACGGCGAGGGGCGGCTAGTCCATGTCGAATGAAATCGGTTTTAATTTGAGGTCACATTCCTTTTCCGTTCGACACTCGTCGATAGTATGGCGCCATTGAGATACTCAGGCGTCTGATAGGGCTGTCTAGGCTCTCCAGACGCAGATCCCATAGGATGAAGTCATTTTGTACGAAGCGAGGAGCATAGGCGATGGCACCCGCTATACAGCGTCTTGCAGCCTGTGAATTCGGTTAAGGCATAGCACGCCGCGGCAGCATAAGTGAGTAAGCGTATGTACGCCTCATATAAGCAGACCTGCGAACGGAGCCTTAAGTTGGACGCGATAATGAGGTACACGAGATAATGCATGACACCCGCTTGTGTAGCCACATTTGTCAGGTATGGTCAAATTGTGAGATGGCTTCCGATAGTCATCCCAAGGTATTTCATCGTCGAAATCCATTCGACGCCTCTCCGAGTAATAATAGTAGGGGCCGAACCAGTATGTCTCCCACGTATGAGATTGCTTGAGAGAGAGAGAGAAAGAGTATTCTTTATCCAAAAAACAAATAAACAGTGCGATACATTAAATACAAAAAAAAGTACAATTGGCGGTCTTATCGCTAAGAGCGATCTCTTCCAGAAAAACATCAGGTGGACAAGAATCATTTGGAAACGAATTGAGCCTTCAACATGTTCAGACTTTCAGACTCCAGTCCTTGAGCGACGCGGGGAAGGCTACGAATTAATTGCCGGCATCGCAATTTGAATTTGAATCTTGAAACTTGAGATCGGATTTTCTTTCGCATTTAATAAAGGCTGCCCCAAACGGAACACATGAACAACACGCAAACCACATTCTATTGAACTATGTAAAAAAAGCGTTGTGATTGTGAGCGGACGAGCTCACAGCCCACCTGGTGTTAAGTGGTTACTGGAGCCCATAGACATCACGCAAATGCGCCACCCACCTTGAGATATAAATTCTAAGGTCTCAAATATAGTTACAATGGCTGCCCCGCCCTTCAAACCGAAACGCATTACTGCTTCACGGCAGAAATAGGCAGGGCGGTGGTACCCACCCGCGCGGACTCACAAGAGGTCCTACCACCAGTAAGATAACATTTTTATATTTTATATTAACATTGATTGAATTTCAAAATAAAAATATACAAAAAACACATTTTAGCATCTCAAACAAGTTTCTCTTGTACAATAACATAATGAAGTTAGATTAAAGGTCACGTTGTATTGAGAATTACGATGAATGTCTGTGAAGAGCTTTTATATAAATAAAAGAAAAATACACATAAATAAGATAACTGCGAACATAAATCTTAGAAAATGTTTTATCAGCTTGCAAGTAATACGTCCTATTTGCTGCCAATTGCAGTTATTCATAGACCGACATCGATGCGCTCTAGGGTAAAATATAATTAAGCCAGCTCGTTTTAATTAAGACGCGCCATTATATTTAAATTAATTGTTATCTATATATATATAAAAGAAAGTCGTGTTAGTTACACTATTTATAACTCAAGAACGACTGAACTGATTTGGCTGAAAATTGGTGAGGAGGTAGCTTAGATCCAGGAGAAGGACATAGGATACTTTTTATCACATTCCCGTGGGACTTGACATAAAACGTGGTATAACAAAACGCATCTGACAACTAAACGTAATATATTCTATGGTTAATTGTGTTAATTAAAGTAGAATTTTGAAGTTGACTGGTTGATGTGTTTGAAACAAACCGTGTGGCGGAACAAAGTTCGCCGGGTCCGCTAGTTTAGTATATAAAGACATTTTTAATTAAAAAATTTGTTAAATTCTAACATTAAGATAATACGATCTGTTATTTTTTTCAAAATGTCAACACAATTACACGAGTTTCCATAATTTATTTCGGTATAAATGTTTTAATCCTCTGATTAAGTAGCTCAAAAATTATTAAATGATTACCGTAGTAATAGACCTTGCGATGTAAATTCCGCCATACACCTTTTTTTTCCTACCTACACTGATGGTCTTGAGCGACCATTTCAGCGTAACCCTAACAAGTAGGTGAGCTCACGAGGCTCAAATCTGACGACGCTGCTAATACTAATCCTAGCAAGAGTAGTGCTTCGCAGAATCTATCACCGGATCGGAAACGCGACCCACTAAGAAGATCTGGCGAGAAACTCAGTGGGCTGTGTCTGTGGGTTAATTTATTCACCGAGCCCTTCGTCGCAAGCGACGGGTTCGACGGGAACGATGACTGTTGATTGTGGTACCTAAAAGCACCGTTAGTAGATCGGGATGTTCCGAAATGACGTGTTTTGGGCGACGTCGACTGTTTACCATTCTGTCCGCAGGATCGTGAATGTAGTTTCTGGTACATCTTGAGACATTACGTCGTCGATTTAGCTGAATCACACAGCTTGTATACCTACCCTCGCGAACTTATAATGTACCCTACCATCAGTAAAAAAAGGTGCGGGTACTTATGTGCGCACGTAAGAAGTTATACTTTTTGTTTATTAAATTTATTTATTTATTTTTTATTTAAATTTTAATCAATTTGAAAAAAAATCGATTAAACAACATTCTCAAACACGCATATTGGACATCCCTTTTCTTGACATCGTATAAATTCGGTAATTCTCGGTACGGTTCGGAAAGTTCACTTGCGGCTATATTCAGACTCGCCAAGTTACGTCGGTCGTATTGTAATGAGCGATTTAGTGGGCAACTTCATTCTGTTAATTTTGTGTCACGGTGCGCGCGCATCGTAAAATTTCACTCTCATCAATTTTTCATAACGCGCCTAAAGAAGTACAACTTCAAAAATACACAACCTAGAAGAATCGAATGAAGTTAACATATAAAATGCGCAACTTACTTGGCGGGTAATCTCGGTAGGTGATATCGGTGTAGACAGCAAAAGGCGAAGCACAGACGATGGATATGATCCACAGAATGAGTATGATCCTTGAAGCGCGAGTGAGGCCGGCCATCGCGTATACGTGCAGAGGGTGACATATCGCCAGGTAGCGTTCCAGCGAGAACGCCGATATAGTCAGGACCGAAACGTACGTAGCCCTGAAAGAAAATATTGATTATTCAAAATCCTTGTTATACGTACAACAGTCCTATGTATACGTATTCCTATTGTGTTATTCTAAATTCGCTTTAACCATTTGACTACAGTGTAGGTCACCGGTTCTCTACCGGGCACACTGAAGTAATTATGTCGATTTCTGTTACAATTTTGTTTTATTGCTGAGATGGGTGGACGAGCTCACAGCCCACTTGGTGTTAAGTGGTTACTGGAGCACATAGACATCTATGACGTAAATGCGCCACCCACCTTGAGACATAAGTTCTCAGGCATAGTTACAACGGCTGCCCCACCCTTCAAACCGAAACGCATTACTACTTCACGGCAGAAATAGGCAGGGTGGTGGTACGTACCCGTACGGACTCACAAGAGGTTCAACCACCAGTAAACTCACAAGAAGTCCTACCACCAGTAAAAAGGCCATCACTAACCAACCACCACTAAGGCGCCGGAATATCTAGTAGACTCTGGGAAAGAGGAATCCGAAGATACTAAGAATAAATCTATTTCTATGAGACCCAAAATACTAAAACACACATTAAAAACAAAGGAAGGCAAATTTAAGAAATTCAGGCGCTTGGTTACAAAAATCTAAATATTAATTACTTCAGTGCGCCACGTAAGGCACCGGTGGCAATCGAAGGGTTAAGCGATTATTTCTTAAGACTGTTAGATTCGGTGTGTTATACTTGTCACCTCAACCGTTTCTACTTAACTTGTTTGAGTTTATCCGAAGCTGAGACATAGGTGGTTGAGCAACATAGGATCTTGTTGGTTCGGCTCCTAATATTGGAGTGTATATCCCGCCCACATTCTCAACGTTTAGGTAGAATTCTAACGATTTCACCCGGACGCAAGAGAATTTGAAAATTTTTTTCTTCCAACCTTTCAAATTGAACACTTCAAACAGTGATTTATTGTTATCTATACTTCTATACTACTTAATATTATAAAGCTGAAGAGTTTGTTTGTTTGGACGCGCTAATCTCAGGAACTACTGGTCCGATTAGAAAGAATCTTACAGTGTTAGACAGCCCATTTATCGAGGAATACATTGCAAACCCAGTGCACGCCCAGCACTCAATCCGTGGACCCTGTTCATGTAGAATTAGTAGACAGTGAGGTAGAACGCAGAGCCTCCTTGCCACCCTCTGATGCGTTACCACCCGTCACCCCGATGGAAGTTAAAGACTTGATCAAAGACCTACGTCCTCGCAAGGCTCCCGGTTCCGACGGTATATCCAACCGCNTACTCGTCGAACTCGACAAAGAGGTCGACGTGCAACCTAACCCATGCATCAGCCCGCTGAGTTTCTCGCCGGATCTTCTCAGCGGGTCGCGATTCCGATCCGGTAGTAGATTCATTCGCGAAACAATTGCTCTTGAGTTGTTAGGTCTCCTTCGGAGGCGCTCGGGCAGTTGTTAGCAGATCCCACCTCTCTTGGCTGAGCCTTTGCTCGCCCACCTGTCCTGGTGAAACTGGAAAGGCCTTCGGGCCACCAGTAAACTTTCAATCATAAAAAAAAAAAAAAAAAAAAAAAAAAAAAAAAAAAAAAAAATTTATCGAGGAAGGCTATAGGCTATAGGCTATATCTAACATCGTGCTAAGATCAAAACAAGCGGAGCATCAATAAAGAATATTTCAAAATCGAGGTTTTTTTCCCTTTTGAGAGCTTCCGTTGCGTGCGCTGCAGAAACGGTTAAAGTTTCGCTAAAATAATGTATGAGAGAATTGTTCCCCTTTAAAAAATCTAAAAAAAATCTGCGACAGCATATGTCTATATGTTAAGGTTAGCTCACTATAACCTTTTTTATGCGAACCAAATTTGTTCTAAAATAAGGCATTATTTGTGAACGCGGACGAAGTCGCAGGCAAAAGCTAGTGAATTATAAGGCTTACGTACATTTTTTAACTTCATGGAGATTATAGTAAGTATTCGTTTTCGTTTTCGCTAATCCTAGTCGTCAGTAATTGAAACGTTAAGATTAATAATAATAAAATTATCACAATCAACGTAAAGTTAAACCGTAAAAGTATCTTTGATTACCTATTTATGTTCTTCGTAATTCTTTCAAGCAACACCTTTGGAATGCTTTCAATGGCAAATGTTTAAAACGGCTCATCTGGAGACTAGTCGTAATTGCTCAAGGACATCAGTAATGCTAAGGTCATAAACAAACCGCGCATTACGTGAGTAATGACATTGTCTTTGCGTCAAACTAAACTTAAAATAATATTTCTATTAGGTTTTCGAAGTGCCTCATTTTTCGGTCTATTTACATTTTCATATATACTCGTAATAAATATCAGAGTAATTTATTGAAAAGTCTAACATTTTAATATTCGTAGAATATCTACACAGTTTTATGAAAGTGTAAATTGTTCTCGAAAAGTTACTCGATAAGTGCTAACTTTTATATGATTAATCTAGGACCGTTATTACAATTGGGACCTCTATAATATCTCAATGTGAGGCACAGCATCATGCGTAAGCATTAAAATATTTAGTATTCAGATCATTTTAGTTAGATTTATTTCATGCGATGACATCGTGTCACACAACAAACCGGTCACCGTCCTCGCCAAACCCGTCGCTTGCGACGAAGGGCTCGATGAGTAAATTAACCCATAGACACAGCCTACTCAGTTTCTCGCCGGACCTTCTCAGTGGATCGCGTTTCAGATCCGGTGGTAGATTCTGTGAAGCAATGCTCCTGCTAGGGCCAGTGTTAGCCTCACACCGGTTTGAGCCCCGAGAGCTTACCTACACGTCAGGGTGAAGCTGAAATAGCCCCTCAAGGATATCAGCATAGGTAGCAGAAAAAAAGTAACATAACAAATCTGCACATCCCTCCCTCCCCCTTCCTAATTGACTACGAACTAACCGCTAACTAATTCATTACTTAGATTTAAAGCCAGACGAAAGAAAACATAGATTCTGGAGCATACAAAAAACTTGGAAGTCGTCGTGGCCTAAAGGATAAGACGTCCGGTGCATAAGCTTTTTTTTTTATGATTGAAAGATTACTGGTGGCCCGGAGGCCTTTCCAGTTTCACCAGGACAGGTGGGCGAGCAAAGGCTCAGCCAGAAGGGGTGGGATTTGCTAACAGCTGCCCGAGCGCCTCCGAAGGAGACCTAACAACTCAAGAGCAACTGCTTCGCGAATGAATCTACTGCCGGATCGAAATCGCGACCCGCTGAGAAGATCCGGCGAGAAACTCAGCGAGCTGATGCATGGGTTAGGTTGCACGTCGACTTCTTTGTCGTGTTCGACGAGTACGGTTACCGGAGATCCTCAGCCTGCTCCTAGTGTTAGAGCTGAAGGTATCTAATGCAAGAGTTATTGGATCTGATGGATCCGTAAGGACGTGGGTGCATTCGTCTTGAGCAATACACGGGGTGTTCGAATCCCAGGCGGGTACCAATTTTTTTAATGAAATACGTACTCAACAAATGTTCACTATTGACTACCACGGTGAAGGAATAACATCGTGTTATAAAAAATAAACCCGCAAATTTTAATTTGCGTAATTACTGGTGGTAGGACCTCTTGTGAGTCCGCGCGGGTAGGTACCACCACCCTGCCTATTTCTGCCCTGAAGCTGTAATGCGGTTCGTTTTAAAGGGTAGGGCAGCCGTTGTAACTATACTCGAGACCTTAGAACTTATATCTCAAGGTGGGTGGCGCATTTACGTCTTAGATGTCTATGGGCTCCAGTAACCACTTAACACCAGGGCTGTGAGCTCGTCCACCCATCTAAGCAATAAAAAAAACTGAATATTTTTAATTAATCTTGGCGTTATTGGCTTTAGTTTGCGACTCGTTATTACTACCTAATTCTTCAGATTTAGATCTGCACGGCAAAGCAGTCCTGGCTTGAGTCCTTTTTCTTCATTTCGGTTTTTCTGACCGTTTAAAATGAATACAAAAGTGTATGATAATGTGAAACTTTATTAATATGATAATGAAACATTTAATAGTCAATACAGTCGTACAGTAAGTGTGTAGTATCTTTATTTCTTTTCTTTAAAGAGCACTTGTGAAGCCGACTCCGCTGTGACTATCATTATTAAATGATAAAATAAAATTAAGTGTTTAAAACTACTCACGCGTTGCATTTTCTGGATTTTCTCAAGTTCCTACAACTATACTAAATCTTATCACAATGGTAAACATGGTTTAGGACATATGTATGTACAACAACTGTTTTCTATTTCTTTATATATTCAATTTACCGCTTACTTTAAACAATACCGCAGAGGTAAACGATATTTTAGAGGATCTTAGTTGAACTTAAATACATTGTATTGTCTCGTAAAACTACTGTAGATCCTCATTTATGTGCGGTCTGATGCTAGCTACGAAGCTAAGTTATTGACCGAATAGCTTCGTACTGGCAACAGTGGCAACACGGGTGCTTTAACGTACGAACGTGGAATTTCTTAGTATAAATACCGCTCGTAATCTAAAATGCACCAATCAGGTGAGACAGGGTTACTGCGGTAGAAGCAAACTCGTGCAAGTAAATCTTCACACCATAACCTACGCCAGTGGTGGACAAATATTTTTAATGGCGGGCCAGAAAGTTTAAGAAATTCTAGAGGAGAGCCAGAATTATAGAAAAAATGCATTTTGTATTATAGCCTCTTAATAAACAAAATACCTTTTACTTTTACGCCTTGTTAGGCGTGTGAGATATAAGGCGTGTGATAGATAGGTGAAAAGAATGTTTTTTTTTTTTTCAATAAATACCTGTGACAGACTGCCGAGATAATTATAATGATCAAAAGTCAATTATAAGATAATGAAAGCTCAAAACACCCCTGACGAATTGGAGCTTTCATTAAAAATTCGAAGATTTTCAATTATAAACATCAGATTTTATTTTACGCGCCAAAACTCTGACTAGAATATTTAGGATGGATGGACTCTCGGCGGGCCGGATTAAATACTTCCGCGGGCCGTACTTTGCCCATCA